CACACACACACACACACACACACACACACACACACACACACACACACACACACACACACACACACACACACACACACACACACACACAGACACTGTGGTTAAAATATCACACCTTGTGGGCACAGTGGTGTTTAAATTCATACTTCCAGAGTAAGGGCGTTTTCAACTGTCATGGGTGTTTTTATTTTTTACACCCCAAAGATGGTGCAGGCTGTAATCTGTTTGTTTCCTCGCGTTATTTTCCAATCATAGTGTCACAGTTCCACCGAAGATTAAAGTATTTATTCATGAATTTCTCTCCATCTGCATGTTTTAGGCGATGCATGCTTGCTTTTGTTCACATCTCCACTCCAAAAACAAGAAGTGGTGCTTGTGTGCATTCAGCGTGAATGAGCAGAAAAGAAATGAGTCCTTTCTCAGTTGAAGTTCAAGTGTGCTTCGCATTTCATAGCTAATTTTATAACACTTTAAACTTTCTGCACAACGCAGACATGTAGCTGAGCACCAACACTCCTTTTTTCAATTTAATATCTGATGTAATTATTCACTTGTGAAAAGACAGCTCTGCTGTATTTGTTTATTTAGCTCTTGTGTAAATGAGTAAATCATATTGTAATGTCAGAGTAACAGTCTCCGTTTTGGGATATTTTAAATAAAAGACAATATTTCCACAGCAAAGAACAAATAGTTCCACCAAAAGTGGTTTGTTAAGTTCTGGAGATTTTAGGCCACTTTCAGGAGCTTGCAGCATGCCTCATATGGTGGTTGTAAACATAATCTGAGTTAACATTTAAGATAAAAAGCAGTTTTTGACTCTGTACAGTTGATTGCTGAAAGCAGCAAAGCAGCAACCACAGCTGTGCAATGAAGTTAAATGAAACCCTTTATCTGCAGGGAGGGGCACCTTTACATCTGATGGAAGTTCCTGTTTTTCTCTTGCACCTTGAGAGAAATGAGAAAGGAAAAAAAACCCTTTAAATTTGATCTTCCAAAAGTCCAAAAACCGTAAGTGCAAGTGAACACACTTGCCACATATCCTTATAAATATTGAGTAATGCATTTTTTTTTTTTTTGCAAAACATACAACTGTTCGAGGGTATGACAAATGTTTTGAAAGACTCTTTCCCAAAAAAGCTATTGCAGGTCAGATTAAGGGAAATATTTGATACTGTTTAAAAGATTAATAAAAAAAAGAACAAATCATGCAAAAAGGAGTTTATTGTGGGAGGCCATGAAATTCTAAAAGTTGTTTATATAGAAGATGATGGAACAGAATTGTGATAGTAATCTTTCTGTTGAATGTGGCTCTGCATATGTGTGTGCATTTGGTGTTTGTTGGGTGGGGTGGAGTGTGTGACCTTACACACACTGGCTTATTTCCCCATCAAAAATGTGCTGCAAAAAATTGTCGAGGCTGACACACACTCAGCATCAACATCAGCAGCAGCCAGAGTAAGTACTCTCCATGCAATGATTTTATACATTATGCTACAGCTTTAGAAAATATTTACTAGGAGTTTTATTGAATGATATAAGGTTAAATTAAACTTGAGATATAAATATTTTGTCCAAATATTAGAAATTTTATCCTTTTTTAAGGGATAAATTTTACATTTTAATTCTAAATGTATTTCTTTTTTATTCAATTTAAAATCAAAAAGGATATAAAAAATTATTTTAAAAGTGATATTTGTGTAATTAATTATATGTATTTCCATTTTTGCATTTTTATCATTATTAGTAAAAAAGGGGTTTTATGAGGAAAAAGAGAGGAAAAAAACTGTGATTGAGTTTTTAGCAATTTGACAAATATCAATCAGAGCATACAGCTGTAAAGAAAAAAAATATTATCCAGCATTCTTGATGAAAGCAGCTGGCGTATTTCCTCCATGTGTTGATTTAAATGCCTCGGTTGCTCACTCATCCTGTGTTCACCACAGAAAGGTGGAGATTGCAGTGCACATGGTAGGCATTTAAATGATACCTTTAAAGTAATTAAAGCCCCGCTGAAACGTGTCTGCCATAGAAGCAGGGGGGGATTTCTATTTCTGGTCCAACTTTCTTATGAAATTAAGTTCTTCTTCCTTCTTTTTCCACTTCCAGGTGTGTGTTATGTGCAGAGGACGAACAGCTCTGCTGGGTAGAGTGTGCTGATACCCTGTTTGATCACAGGAGTTTTTCGTGCAGCTCCAACCAGCTTGGTTCATCCTCGATTTTCAGGCAGCTGTCTGGTCCGTCACCATGGATGTTCTTTACTCTCTCACCTCACCCTCCTCCTGCCCTCATCTGTACTATCTACCAAATTACCCAAGCAACAGCTCTGTGCCGAATCAAACCCCTACAGCCAAAGGCATCAGCCAGGTGATCCTGAGGCACTACAACCACACGGGCCGCCTGCAGAACCGGACTATCTCTGCCACCCAGGCCCCCATCAGTGCCTCCATGTCTGTGTTCCTATTTTTCAGTGCGTGTATCGTTCTAGAGAACTTCCTGGTGCTGGTGGCCGTCATCTCTCGCATCCGCCACAGCCGCCGCTGGGTTTACGTCTGCATCGCTAACATAACCCTGAGTGATCTACTAACAGGTGCAGCCTACCTGGTCAACATCTGCATGTCTGGCAGCCAAACGTTCCACCTCACCCCTGCTCTGTGGCTCTTCAGGGAAGGCATGCTGTTTGTGGCCTTGGCAGCCTCCATATTCAGTTTGCTGCTGATTGCTGTGGAGCGCTACACAACCATGATTAAACCTCTGCCCCAAAAGTCAACCAAGAAGACTTATTATCGGATATACGGCCTGGTGGTGCTGTGCTGGTTTTTTGCTCTGGTGATTGGCTTCCTCCCCCTGCTGGGCTGGAACTGTGTCTGCAGCTTGGACGGATGCTCCACACTCCTCCCTCTCTACTCCAAGAGCTACATCTTCTTCTCTCTCATCATCTTCTTCCTCATCCTGCTTACAATTGGGGTGCTTTATGGTGCCATCTACTGCCACGTACACAAGAGTGCTCAGCTAGGCCCTCAACGCAATCGCAAACGCTCCTTGGCTCTGCTGAAAACTGTGATCTCCATCGTGGGGGTCTTCTTGCTCTGCTGGGGTCCTCTCTTTATGCTCCTGTTGGTGGATTTCTTCTGCGTCTCTCGCCAGTGCACCTTGCTGTTCAGCGCGGATTTCTGCATATCCCTGGCTGTGCTAAACTCGGGCTTGAACCCCATAATATATGCTCTGGGCAGCAGTGACATGAGGAAGGCCATAGCTGAACTGCTGTGCTGCTGTTGCCTGAGAGCCGGCCTATGTCGCCCCGACAAGTTCATTTCCAAGGAGACAAGCAGCACCTCAGAGAGCAGGAGGGACAGTCTGAGAAACAGCTTCAGCAAGGTCAGGAATATGAGCGTGGCTTCCCCACCGTCAACCCCAAGTAAGCCTCGCAAGGCACCCAGAAAGTGCAGGCTTAGCACCACAACCAGCTGCCTGTCAGTTTCAAGTGGTTAAAACCACAACATGCTCCCCTCCCAAACAAGCAAGACCTGTGTGAACTGACACAAGTCTAACCATTTCCTCTGACTTTTGGCTTGACATTCAACGCAAAATGATAACATGTTATAAAGAAAACCTGCTGGAAGTAAGAATTTAACTTAACAAATGTATGTCAGGAAAAAAAAACAACTTCAAAGATTTTTATGTAAAAACTATACATGAAATGTGCCAATGCCCTATGGTAAAACATTTTAGATTTAATGATTTTGATGACTTTAAGTGTGTATTAAATCATTTTTAATGAAGTTATAGAAAAACTGAAAGTAACTGAAAAATAAAGTATTTTTGTACAAATGCTCTTGAGAATATAAATAAAGTTTATTTTCTGTTAAAAATTATTGAATATTGTCCTGGAGTAGAAATGCCCTGTTTTCTTTTGAATTAAGACATTTCATTGAAGGGACTTTGTCGTAATAATAAAAAAAACAAATACCTTAAGACTACCGTAGTTCAGGAGCATATCTAATTAAGTTAGAAATATGAATGTTTTTGCTTTAAACAGTGCTTTAAACAGAGCCATCCCATGCCGTGCTACACTTCCTGCTTTTTTGACAGGATGACTGATGGAGGTCTCAGCTCATGGACCGGTCTGCAGCCCTAAGGGCTCTAACAGCCAGGGCTAATTGATAATTCATTATGACGGTCTGGCAGGACAGAGAGATAAGTGTTAGCAAATAGTCTGCACATACAAGTATAACAGTGTTGACTGTACTGTGAGTCTGCTGCCGAGCATTGGGACAACTTATTTAGCTTTTCAATGTGACTAATTTAATCAGGAAAACTCTGACAGATTCAGTGCTTTCAGCTAACCCTAGCTGTTACACGAACCAATCTGAAGGATTTAGTGAGGATTCAGAGTCACATTTGTTACTTTAAAAGATCTAAATCTTTTTGCTTTCCCTGTATTGTTATTGTTTGAAGCATTAACTATAACTCTGGGGCAATGAGTCATTCTTCACTTTGTATCTGCAAGGAACACACTATGTTTCAGTAGCTCTAATCATCATAATTAGGCACCTATTGCAAGAATAGTAAGGCTATTGTGAGAGTTTTTGAGTCGTCAGTAGCTTACTGGGGTCAGATCCACTTAGTATAGGTATCACAAAAGTAAAAAAATTTCAAAAATGTTTTATTTCTATGTGCTTTTTTATGCTCTAACCTGTTCTGGAATAATCTTGGCTTATTTTATGATATATCTGAGTGGCAGAATGAGCTAATTTGATCTAAATTGCCAGTTTTCTTATGGAACATTCAGCTTTAAACATTGTTCATAATTGTGCAATGCAGAATCTTTACAATCGCCTGATTAACTTAAGTCAATCCTAAACCAGTTCTGATGTGCGTTTGGACTCACTGTCCTGTTAGAACATAGTTTGGTCTTCAGTCCTTTGATCCAAACAAGTTACTATTCTCAGATTAAAGGGCACAGGGGAAGATGTTAAAAGATAAGCTGGTACTAGTAAGGCTCAAGGTTGCCGTGAACATGAATGTTTTGAAGAAACAGTATCACAGAGATTTACAAATAAGATAAATAAACCCCAGCTACAAATCAACATCGATTAAGAGGTGCAGCTTTCTGCACAGACAAGCCAGCCAAATGCCTTCTGGGAAAGAAAGTTAAGAGGCCTATTAACAGAACATGGAACGTATAACACAGGGTACATTTACAGAGATTCATTCAAAAGACTGCAGCTGTAAGAGTCATAGAAACTCCATGGAAACACACTGGAGACCCCATAATTAGAGTGTGATTAGATGGTCTAATAGAATCAGAACAGATACAAAGACCCGCCTGAAAAACCACAAATCTTTCTGGGATTACTGAATGACGTTTCAAATGGGAGAATCTCTTACAAGGGCTCATTGGTGAGAGGATCCAAATAGATGACATCATTGCAGTGATCGGAAAACTCTTCTGCCTGCATGGCAAACTGTTCCAAACACAGCTGAGGAGGAAAAGCAGAAAACGGCAGGCAAGGGGATGACGACATGTAAAGTTGCTGGGAAACGAAATCTAAGACGGATCTGGTTTGGAACAAGCCCAGTAATAATGAAAATGAAGCTGGCCTCCAGAGAGAAGCCACTGGTCATACAGAGAGGCTTAGATCAGCGACTGTATCAAAGGGTCGGTAGAACTTAGTGATTATCTGTTATTATAACTATCTATCAATAATAAAAACCATTTAAATGTGATTAAAGAAATTACATTCTTACATCTTGCATCCTAAGGCAAAGAATCAGGTGTTGCATCTGACCCTGATGCAGGGGTTGCTGTTTCAACATATTACAAATACAAAATATTATACAGTTACTAAAATAATTATTACTTATTTTACTACTACTTGCAATAAAAATGTTTAAAAAAAAATGTTGCAATCATTGCTTAAGGTTCTTGTTCAGGGACCCAGAGTGGAGGCTGTGTGGATAAAACCGGGTACTTGCAACATTCTCAGAGCACAAGCGCACTGCTCTAACCACTAGACCAACACTCCCCTCTCAACAACTAATAATTTTACTAAAGTAATATTAATACATCATTCATTAACTTTGATCAGAAAGCTATTACATATTTCTATGATTGTATAATTAACCTTTATTTAGTCAATTTTCAGTACAGCCATTCAGCATGCAAAATAAACTTTTGAGAATACTGGGCCTCCAAGCCGATGTGGAAAACCATAATGGAATAAAAATAATTATGTCCACAGTAATAGAACCTTTGCATCATTCACGTTTTTTATTCAAATGCATGTATATTTTATCAAATCAAACGACTCAGTCTATTCTCCTCAGCACAGAAAAACATAGTTATGAAAGGACACGGACACATTTGCTCATTTAAACAGACATAAATCTTCTGTTCCTGCTCTAACATAAAGAACTTTATTGTATTTAGGTAAAAAAAAAAAAAAAAAATTAATGTTCATAATCCGGGAACAGAGGGGGAACTGTTGGGGACCATGTTCTATGGGCCATATGGTCTCTGTACAAGCTGTGCAGAAATTTGGGCGGTATTATGCACTGTTCCCAGTGCATGTTGGACCCAGGAGGGCTTCCCTCTGTCACCGGTCCTGTTCACAACCTTTATCTGAAGGATTTCTTGTCGCAGCCGCTGGATGGGGTCTGGCTCGAGACTTGGCAAATTCATCACTGCTTTTTGCAGATGACGTTCAGCTGGCTCTCTCCTTCCAAGACCTACAGCATGCGCTGGGATGGTTTGCAGCTGAGTGGGAATTGGTTGGGATAAGAATCAGCTCTTCCAAACCCAAGGCAAAGGTTCTCAAACACAAAAAGGTGGCTCATACCTCAACTGGAGGAGTTCAAGTATCATGGGGTCCTGCTAGACTTAGACCATTTTTTTTTTCTTGAGTTTTTACAGCACTAGTGGGTCTTTGCGGCAAAGGACCACAGGTCGGATTCGAACCCAGGTCGGCTGCTTCGAGGACTAAGGTCTCCATACTGGGTTGTGTGTGCTAACCACTTTGTACAACTTTCAGAACATTTCCTTTCCATGAAGTGCAGCAGTGATCAAATGTAAACAATGTGGGAGAAGAGACGTGGTGCAAAAAAGCATTGATATGGAAGTTCAGAGCATTTAAATATGTACGGTGCAAATATGCAGTATTTTGGTTTGGTGTTATCAGTGTTACCCACTGCTCAGTGGCGCAGTGGGTAGCACTGCTGCCTTGCAGCAAGAAGGTTCTGGCTTCAAATCCTGGCCCAGGGTCTTTCTGCATGGAGTTTGCATGTTCTCCCTGGGCATGCCTGGGTTCTCTCTGGGTACTCTGGCTTCCTCCCACAGTCCAAAAACATGACTGTTAGGTTAATTGGCTTCTCTAAATTGTCCTTAGGACCCTTAGGTGTGTGTGTGTGTGTGAATGGTTGTTTGTCTCTGTGTTGCCCTGCGATGGACTGGCAACCTGTCCATGGTGTACCCCGCCTCTCGCCCATTGACTGCTGGAGATAGGCACCAGCACCCCTTGTGACCCCAATTGGGACAAGCGTGTAAGATAATGGATGGATGGATGGTTATCAGTGTAATGCAGAGTCTCTGACTGAATTCATTCTATTCTCAATGGAGTGGGAATTCAAAAGAAGTACCGGTGCAACTTCTACTATTATATGGACGCGCCACCGTTGGTGAAGAGAGAGCAGAGTGAAATGGCAAAATTTCTCAATTTACCATTTGGTCTGCATTTCTACCTCCACCAGTTGTCATGAAATCTGAAAGAACGAGATCCTAGACACAAGCAGCTGAAATTAGCTTTCTCCTCAGCGTGGCTGGGCTCTCCCTTACAGATAGGGCGAGGAGCTCAACCATCAGGGAGAAGCACTTTCTTCACATTGAGAGGAGTAGGCTGAGGTGGTGCAGACATCTGGTTTTAATGCCCCTTGGATGCCTCTCTCTAGAGGTATTCCATGCACATTCAAACAGGAGAAGGCCCCCAAAGACGACTCAGGACACGCTGGAGGGACTATGTTTCCCAGGTGACCCTGAATGCCTAGGGCTTCGCCCAGAAGAGCAGGAGCAACTGGAAAGTCTTGGAATATCTGCTGCGACTGCAGTCCACCTGACCCAGTCCCAGATAAGCAGAAGCAGTGAGTATGAGTAATAATGAATAAATGCTTAAAATATTGGTCTGTTTTATATTATTTTAAACAACTGCAACAATGATTGCAGCTTTCCATTTCCCTTCAGCCGAGAAAAAGTCTCGTGAAAAAATCTAAATGAGGATGTTTTTTTCTTCACTCTTCCTGTTTGTGATCACTATGACATAATTTACAAGGTAAATATTTAAAACCTATCAACAAACATTTTATATGAATCCGCGTTTCCTTACAGTCATCGATGTGTCATAGCAGAGATCATGCTGACTAATCTTGTTGATTTATGTTAACTGTCAAAAACCTGCATTTGTGGTTAATGAATTATGACATGACAGTGAAGTAACATATTTAACTAGGTGTTAAGCAGATTACATTTATTTCCTCTCAACAAATTAGAAGATTGTTGCTATAAATGCTCTGGAGCGTCCCTGCAGACCTGAATGTTGATGTTTTATACCTGATATGTTAGCCTCAGTTCCATTAGCCCCAACAGGAAGAGTGCTCTCTCCTGGAGAGCAGGTTTAAAAGCTTAAAGATGATAACAGGAATTTATGTTAACTGTCTAAAAGAAGCCTGTTTTTTTTCTTCTGTGCCA